TTTTGGTCATACCATCATTTCGCTGAGCCTTTCATAAGCTCCCCCATATTGGAGCGCTGAGCTAGACCCCTATTCTTCTCTTTAGTATTGGTTACCCTGCCCAATTTAAGCAATATTGCTTGACAAAAGCAAATCCACGAAATGACAATGGCGTTTTCCTAGACCCGTGTTAATACTTTGGCATCGTGTGTCATATCATCGTATGAGGTGGAGATGCATGATTATTGATGTTCTGCGTTACGAGTGGTGTCTGCTCGCCATGCCTTCGTGGACCATTTGCACGGTGCGGTTGTTGTTTGACTTGATCCACAGACAGTACGCCCCGTCGCTTCTTCGGCATCTTTGATCTAGCTTGAGTGTGAGAGTAAAACATAGCAAAGTTAGACACGATAACCTGGAATGGGAGGGAGTTAAAGGTGAAGAACATGGGACAAAAATAGGGGTGTGTAGTTTTGTACCGGTGGCCGAGCTTTGTGATTGGTCAATTCACCCAACTGGCTAATCACAGAGCTTGGCTGCACCACCCTTTCCAGGTACAACGCTCCACTCCCAAAATCTGAGAAAACTTACAGGAACAGGCAATGCAATGGTTAGTACACCAGCCAACGCACAAATCGAACCAATTAACCGTCCCAGATAAGTGTGAGGTGTGATGTCACCGTAACCAATAGTAGTCATGGTCACTATCTGAAATAAGTGGCCTATGGTTTAACAAATTAAAAGAAGAGCTCCATGGCGTGAAGCAGCTAGTGTTCATACTCGTGCGGAGAACATCTGTTTAAAGGCAGGGTGGACTTGATTGGTTGGCACCGCTCCTCAGAGAGACGGTACTAACCACTCATGACAGATCTCAGCACCTGCTGCAGAGAAATTCACAAAATTTGCGCAATGCTGGATCGGTGCGTCGTGAGTGAGAACGAAGCGGCACCTTTGTTGTATGATTGGTGTATTTGAACCTTCCCTCTTCCTCCCTATCCAGGGTCAACTCGTCCCTCCTTGGAGGACAAGTTGACAGTGGGAGGAGGGGGAGGGAGTTCAGGGCACCAATCAAACATGCACCACCTGTTCTCCATAACGATGCCTCACTTAAGTGCAGTGCTGTTCACATGCTGCAGATATTCTCCCGATTAATACTTGTAGGTGTGGATCAAGCAGTAACG